ATTTTAACCTGTAACCAATCAATCAAAATTCCTACAAACCAATCCTTGAATATCAATGACATGCTCACTAGCGACTGGCCCTATTCAGGCAGGCAGTTACCTGGGGTTCTAATGGGAATTCGTGACCAGTAGGGCACGGTAGGTCGAGTGTGAGGACAAATACTTGCCATGGATGACATTGGCTAGTGGTGGTGCTATGTTGTGAATTGGCAGGAGCTGGAATTCATGGGCTGGGCACTGAATCGGGTCCCAGTAGCTTAATGGTTTACGAGCCCACTGGCCTTGTAACAAGAAGGTCCTGGGTTCGAACTTTGCTGGTGGGTGTGTACTGATGAAGAGTCCCAAACCGCAACGAAACAACTGTCCAGTACTCCCAGCTGGTTCTCCAATGTTTCTCTAACCGATGTCAGCTCATGATGAAATCCTGCAACCAATCAATCAAATCCCTACAAACCAATACTTGAATTTTAGTTGTATGGAGGATTTCATCATGAGCTGACATCAATGAGAGAACCACTGGAAAACCTGGGAGTACTGGACAGCTGTTTCGTCAGTCTAGTTTGGGAATTGAATTTTAATATACTTACTCAGAGACTTCAAAAGTTTCAACAAAATAATCAATGTATGCATACAATGACACTAATACTACTCATAATAATCACTTTTTTTCAAACATTAAAAATAATCATACAGAATGGAATTTTCAGCGGTACAGACTAAGCAGTCATATGAAAGAGAGAATAAAGACATACAGTTACCAAAACGGCAAGGAGAAAGACTGATAACCTCTTCTTTCTGATGAACACATAAATCGGATTTCAGGAACTTGACGGAGATTGTTTCGACAAACTTGAGTAGAATTAAAACTCTTTCACCTATTGAGAAACCACCGCATGACCCATATCAAGGAGATGCTTGGCAATGGCACTGTTCCCTCGAGATGAAGGCTTTTTGGTTCATGTTTGTAAATTCTGAGATTCGCCCTTCTTTCTCTTCTTCCAGTGTAACTGCTGCCGCAGATACGTGTAAATTTGTATACACCGCTAGGCATCTGCTTGACACGAGTCATGAGGTGGACACTATGAAATCCTTTGAAATTATCAATCGGCAAAATAGTTCAATTATCCTCAAGTACACCGAAGTGCAGCATTTTGAGTTGCCACGTTCCAAATAGCACACAAAGGTAGACAAGAAAATGAGTGAAGAGAATCAATAGAGTTTTGACAAGTATAAGAGTGAAACAGAATGAGTAATGGTAGGAAGGAATATGAAAGAATACAGAGACTGAATACATCTGCGTAAGCCATTGACAACGATTTTGAGCCATGTCACCTATTGTCTCCAGCCAGTGATTCTTAGAGTCCCGAGGGCGGGCCCCAACCCGGAAGTCTGCATCTCCCTACCTGACTCAGTTTAACTGTCAAGGATTTCATGGACTGATGCCATGTTTTTGTTTGGCCACCACTTACTCTTTTCCAACCTGCACCTATATCAGCTAGTAATGCCCGTCGGGGTAGGGGAGGCGATGGTTAGGCATGCGCAGCACGTCACCTAGCCATCTCAATCTATGTAACTTTATTGTCTCGTCGATGGATTTTCCCTCTTTGCCCAACACTCTACGCCTAACGTCAACATTACTTACCTTATTATACCACCTAACGTGAGAAAGAGATCGTAAACATCTATGATCAAAAACAGTCAACCTTTTCATGTCTTCAACTCGTATTGGCCATGTTTCAGAGCCATCATAGAGAAGGACGAAGCGAACTGCTGAGCAGTACACACGTCCCTTGGTTGATAGTCGGATGTCACGCCTACGCCAGAGGCGGTGTAAGTTAGCGAAAGCAGCTCGAGCTTTTTGGATCCGTACTGAGATTTCGTCAACAATCAACACACCGAAGTAATCTATATCAGGCACCTGAAACGCGATTTATGTGTTCAGAAAGAAGCAGTCCTTCATTGCCATCTTGGTAACTGGATATTTTTTTTCTCTCTTTCATTTGACTACTTAATCATTACCGCTGGAAATTCGATTCTGTATGATTAATTATTGTTTGGAATAGAGGGATTATTATTACTATTACCATTGTATGCATTCACTGTTTATTTCTGTTTAAACTTGAACTCTTTGTGTAAGTATTTTGAAATTGTTTCTACACATAAACTTAACTAATTTCTTGAGACTGTGTAAACAGCTAATGAGAAGCCAACGAGATAAACAGTGATAGCGCCATTTTTATTCTGTACAAACCGCTGCTGTTGTTCTTGCTTTCCGTTAAATATTTATGGCCAAGTTAAACTTTAAGCACCACTAACAACTACCGATGGAGTGTGACCGCACCAGTGACCTTGAAGCGCTCACTGAGCAAGTTAGTGAAACCTGGCAAATAATCTTGTGATCATTAATAAAATATATATGCTTATCGAAGTGTTATGCTATTAAATTGGATATCTGCCAAGTTTCAGCTTACGTTTTGCGGAAGATTAAGTTACGTTTTAAGTCAAGGACAAGTTAGGGTTAGGTTAACCTAATAAAGGCAGGCGAAATTAGGGTTGGTTCGAGTTAGACTACAGTTAGTTTAGGGATATTTTCATGTTAGGGTTAGCTTCAGGAAAGATTAGGGTTATTGTTAGGATTAGAAGACCTAAATAACTGCATGCATAAAATGTTGTTAAATTACTCTATTGATATAAGAATAGAACTTGTTCACTGTGGTAGAGTATAATTCTATTGTCGGTAACATTTATTTTGCTAAAGTCTCACAGTGTTATGCAGTAATATTTCCTGATGACCACGTTTCGAGGACAATTTATTGCTCAGAAAATATTACTGTATTACACTATGAGACTTTATCAAAATTAATTTTATCCACAATGGAATTATACTCCGTTAAACCTGAGAGCTATTTTTATCACATATGAGAGGAAGGTATCCTCTGCAACACTTTATACACTTTTTAAGTAATTTCTTTTCATAAATATATGTATTCCATACACAAAAATGCCTCCTTCACGTCTAGATAATTGGCTGATTGGTAGTTAGTGGTGCTTAAAGTTTAACTTTGCCGGTGTTGTTCTGGATATATATATATATATATATATATATATATATATATATGGATAAGTTTGTAGTAGACCAGCTGTCAACGTACAATGAAAATGGATCGCGCATACGCTAGGGAAACACATTCCCAGTGAAATCCAATGATAGGGGTCCACTGAGTGCAACCCGACTAGGAGACGACGAGTTATTAGGCTTCCGACAGTGACATGCGGAAGATTATATGAAAACGTCAAAAGGAAAAAGCTCGTAAGCAGTTGTGAGGCCAATTTAAATTGACATCAGAGAGTAGAGCGAATTGGAAATGTTCGGCTGAAGAGAACGCAGGGAAGCAATAAATATTTCTTATATTTCAAGAGTTTGCTTGTAACGATTTGATTTGCTCTGAGTTTGATCACAGATTGATATCAGTTAGAAAACCATTGAAAACCACCAGGGAGTACTGAAGAACTGTTTCCTTAAACCTTGGGACTTATCGGAAGTACTCACTCATTGGGTTTCGCGAACCTAGGAGCTTCCGGTCACAAGCCAAGTTTGCAGATCATCCAGCCACTGGGACCCGATTCAATGATTTATCAATTTTAACTACAACCAATTCGTGGTTTCTTCTTAGCGCGACCACCAGCCTACATTATTATTATTATTATTCCCTTGGGTTCTGAGTGGAAAACATACCGACTCAGCAACACATCTCAATTCTCTGCGGTCCATTTCAGCTAGCCCCAGGATCGCCTGTGCCTAACCTTTCATCTCCTGTTTGTCACCATTTATTATCATTATTATTGTTCCTTTGGGTTCCTAGTGGAACATAGGGCTTCAACTGAACGCCTCCACTTGCTTCTGTCTTCTGCTGTACTTTTCACTTGCATCCATGTTAGTCCATACTGTTTCAACTCCTCTTCACACGATCTCCTCCATGTCACCCTTGCACTGACGTCCCACTCGCCGCTTCCCTTTCGGGTTCCACTCGAGCTATGGCCTGACGGGCGATGTCACCCAGCGGCCTCCTCAGCGAGTGTCCAATCCATCTCCACTTCCTCCTGCATATTTGTTGGTTGATTGGTTCCTGTTTTGTTTGTTCCCATAGCTTCTTGTTTGTGATTCTTTCCGGCCATCCAATCTTCAGTATAGAACGAAGGCAGTTGTTGATAAAGGTCTGCAACCTGTTGAAAATATTCTTGGTGACCCGCCAAGTTTCTGATCCGTATAACAAAACTGACTTGACGTTTGTATTGAAAATCCGGATTTTGTTGTTGATGCTGAGTGACGAAGATTTCCAGATGGATTTCAGGTTGATGAATGTGTTTCTCGCCTTCCCGATTCTTGATTTGACATCCTCGTCCGTTCCTCCTGTGGTTGAGACAATGCTCCCTAGATAAGCAAGAACCTATTGCTCAACAAATATGTAGAAGAAAATAGAGATGGATTGGGCAAACACCATTGAGGAGACCATCGAATGACATCGTACGCCAGGCTATCGCTTGAGTGGAACCCGAGTAAGGAATGACGAGTTGGGTGTCACGGAAGAGGTCGTGAGAGGGGGAGGAAGAGATGAGAGACTATGAGCAATTGTGGGCGCAGCTGAAGATGACAGCAGAAAAAAGAACAAAGTGGAGATGTGTTGTTGAAGTCCTATGTTCCATTCAAGGGAACAATAATAATAAAAATAATGTCACCATCGGATTAATGTCCGATTCGCTGTCTCCCATTTGGCTTCCACTCGAGCGATGACTTGCTGCGTGCTTTTCACAATTCATCTTTATTTCCATTTGTATATTTGTTGTCCGATAAGTTCTTAGTTCTTTAGGGTGATCTGACCTGGAGTATCGAGAGAAGGTAACTGTTAACGCGTACCAAAAACAAAAAAAATAAAAACTTAATTACAAATACGCACCAGAGTAATGATGTTTTGAAAAGAAGAAATTCACTAAAAACTAACCTGTAAGTGCATCTAAAAAGCTTGAGAAATAACTATCATTACCGTGTAGAAGATGTATCACACGTGATAGACTGCCATTATTTGGAGCTGGATCAGTCAGATTGAGTAGTGCACACATCAGTGGATAAATATCAACCATTTGGATAGATTGAATTGTCCTCCTACTCCGCGACATATCTTTAAATCCTGGTCCCATAGCCAAGAAAAATGGGGACATTTCACTGTCATTAGGATCATAACCATGATCTCCACGTTTAGCTGATGTCAAGAAATAAATACAATAACGCAGGCAAATAAATAATTATCAATGTAAAATAATAATAATAAAATTCTGTACATAAATCTTGATCTCAGCGGAATATGTAGGTGAATCATCGATTCGAAGCTTAAAAGTAGAGAGCGAAATGGTAGAGCATGTCCATTGCTTCACTTATCTGAGAAGTCGTACCAGCTCCTGTGGACTAATTGCTGAACAATCCTCAGCACTTGTACAAAGGTTCGTGTGGCCTTCACCAACTGAATTCATCGCTGGCATAGACGTGATATCTAGTTATCCACTAAATGATGTGTGTACTGGTCAGTAGTTCTCTCTCTCTCTCCAACTTTGTGGTTTTGGGACCTGACTATATGTGTCTGCGTTCTATTTCACGTGTTTAGTGGTGGTATAATATGGTGGGTGATATTGAGGTTATGCGTAGTGTTAAGTAAGGACGGAAAATCAATCGATCATGTTATTAGGCCGCACAGATTGAAATAGATAGGACACGTGTTACGCATGGGGAGCCATCGACTTACTCGACCGGCTGGCAATCTAGGTTATATATATAGTCCCGACCGATAAATGCTACCTTGCCGTGGTGGTCGGGCTTGAATGCCGCAGTGACCCAACAAGCTAAACTGGCTGGGACACATGTCCCTGCAGGTCCTACCATGTCAGGAAGGTTGTTTGGATAGCAGTTAGACTAAAAGCAGTTACCATGGGGTAAATGGGCTCCAGAATTCAATCGGATCAAATGGCGTATGAACCCATATGGGTCACCGGCAACCATGGGAACGCAGCTCCTGACGCTGCTCCGCTGCCTTGCGGATTAGACTCCAAGTCAAATGCTCGGGGGGTGGTCCCTTAGGAAAACCACCTGCTTCTGTCTGGGCGCCCGGGCAGTATCTCAGCCCTCACACAATATTGTGTGGCGCATCTTTCTTGGTGCCACATTGTACCAAGATTTTCTGCGTTTAAATAAATAATAAATAAATAATCATATATATAGTCAGGTTAGAAAGGAAGTAGTGGTGGTCAAATCGAAACCAAACATCACTCCATGAAATATTTCTCAGTCGGTATGAGCCAGTCATGGAGGGGGGGGGGGGGGTAAGCTCCCTAGTTAGGGTCCTCGGGATTCCAAGAATCAGTGGCTAGAAACAACTGGTGACAATGGTTCAAAGTCGTTCTCCATGGTTGTCGCAGATGCATTCACTCCTCGTGATCACTCCGATCTGTTAAATATTCACTTTTTAGACAACATCATTAGTGCAAACTTCATTTCGAACTGATGTCAGCTGGAGAAGCACTGAAAACCACGAACTACTAGGCATACGTATGCTTTTATTTCGGGCCATTCCAGCAGTACGTATCCATAACCCCCTACTGCAACCGCCAATCAATGTCATCGGAGAATACCTCATGGATCCCATTGGTCGTGATGAATTGCCCCACTAGAACTTTAAGATAACCTTAACCTTGTGGTTGAAGTCTAGTGGACTAGTATTCTATTTGTCATCATAAAGCTAATCACGTCAGACTTTTCTTTTTAAGAAGTGAATGACGGTATCCGATAGAATTATAACCAGACAGTGTGAGATTAGATGTAACGATGTGCTGCCTGACTGCTTTAAATATAGAACTCTGCATAGATGTGAAACAGTTCGAGTTGCCACTCTCCCCATGTAGCACACAAGACAAGAAAAAAGAGAGTAAACAGAGATTCAACAAAAGAGATAATAAACAGAAGTGTAATGGAAAAAGAATAATAGTAATATGGAAGAATACAACAAGCTTTTATTGAATATGACAAATCATAAAGAGTGAATGCATCTGTAACAGCCAGCCAGCCATTGAGAACGATGAGTTTTGATCCATATCACCAATTGTCTCCAGTCTTTATTGCTTCTCACCATCCTGAGGAGCTCAACCAGTCAGGAAGTCTACATCTCCCTACGTGGCTGGCTAGCTGGCTGGCTTAAAGTAACTGTTATAGATTTCATTGACTAATAAAGCCATGTTTAAGTTTCACCACTATGTGCTAGCTCTTTTTAACCTGATCCATCCCATGTCAACTAACATTGACTGTCGGTTGAGGAAGGCGATGGTTAGACATGCAGGCGCCAACACATATATTACCATTTCAATCGATATAGCTTCATAACTCTATCGACTCACTTTCCCTCCTTACTCAGCACTCACTCGACAGATGGCCTCACCAACTCAATATTAGTCAGCCTACTACGCCTACCACCTAACACCGGAGATACAACGCAGACAGCTATGATCAAAGACAACTAGCTAGTTGGTCTTTCTATATCTTTCACTTTCAGTGGCCATGTCCCAGACAGCCACAAAAGAGGATGGGACGAACTGGTGCTGTGCAGTATACACGTCCTTTGGTTGACAGCCAACCGGATATCACGTCTACCAAGCCAGAGATGGCGTATGTTGGCAAATGTCAAACGAACCTTTAGTAACCGTTATGAGACTTGACAGGTGCGAATCTCATGCCGACCATTCGGAGATTTCTGCTCAAGATGTTCAGAAGACTCTGCATTTCGTCAACATCTTCACCTTCAAGGACTATATCATCCCTATATTTCAACTCAACGAGATTATACCCTGATAGTGAGTCAATCCCTGAGTCGCTGAAATCAGTTAAGAATGGTTGACCCCGCGAAGACAAGTAATTTAGAAAAAAGCTCAGCAATTGCACTACATGCATTGACACACAACCACACAATAGCGTGGGAGAGGGTTAAAATTCTAAGTAATCTGTGTAAGTGAAGAGAGAGATCGATAACTGAATCCTTGTCCATTGAGTCTACATACACCCAACATGTGCAATACGAATGACTCATCACTCATGCCGGAAATATGGAAAATGTTACCACCAACCAAGTCAAGCGATGAAAAATAATGGAATTATATGAACGAAGTTAGAAAGTTGTGTGAGTAGTGCCTTCATATGATTATGAGCAGCAAATATTACACAGTATAACACACTGTCAGACTTTATCAAAATGAATTTTACCCACAATGGAATTATACTCTACCACAGTGCACCAGTTCTATTCTTATATCAATAATTCTTTTAGGGTTTTGAAATAGGTTGGGCTCAAAATGCTTTTTTTATTTCCGACATGTGTATTTTAATTGGCCTTTATCTTTCATACAAATTAGCTGGACAAGTAAGTATGTGAGGGATCAGATTGTTCGAAATGTATTGCGCAAAATATTAATATTTCTTTACAAGCTTTTCCTCTACGTACAGCTGAAGCCATCGGAATCCACTTGAAGAAGCCAAACCTCTGAGTTTACAAGAAATTCGTGCAGTCACTTTCCTTACCTTTGGCCATCGTTACATCAATGTTAAACAATGACAATGTCCTCTTCTCCCTAAGCCGTTTACAAGTTATCATCGTGTTAATTATTTTATTAGTCTAATTAATTTTCCTTTAATTACTTATTATGTAATCAATTTGAACAGTCACTTGTTTCTTAATTACTCGTCTTACTTTCCCAAAATAACACATTATACAATCCACCTGCTGTAATCATTTCTACCCTATAATTGTTTTTATTATTTTTTTCTAGTCAATTGTTCCCCCCCCCCCACCTCTGACATATCGATATTCACTGATTGCTGTCAACAAATTTATCACCACTAGATTGGTATTATATGAGGAGAGAGACGTAGACGAGGATCTAATTCAAACATAAATGTTTCTCCAATTGATCCTTCTCTCCTCTAAATGCCTAAATGGGGATTTTTTCTGTAATAAATAACCAATGAATAATGTGCGTCGGTGGTTCAGTGGCAGGTACTCGCCAAACACGCTACAAGTAGTTCAGAGTTGGATCTCCGGCCAATACACTTCTAAGCCTGGTTTAACTGGTAACGCCCCATAGAAACCCCACCTCGTAAAAAATAAGCACCACTGCTACTGAGCCGATAAAATGGAGAGTCTTTCGAACGCAATGGTTAGAAATCTTCAAGTGTTTGGCATGCGATACACCCCTGTTAAATGTAAGAGAACTGGATTACACCAACTCTTTTAGGTACAGAGTGCTTTAGTTCAGCATGTCGACTACCTAACTTATTTGGGAAGTTGTATCAGCCAATCCCAAAGTACTCATTATTGACAAAATCTCATCACATATACATAAAACGCTCGTGTGGTATATTTGCCGACTCACTCTATTTCTGCGCCATCACCTTCCTCGATCAACGGTCAATCTTAGCTGACGCATAGGATGGATCAGGTTGGAAAACAGCTAGTGATAGTCAAACCAAAACTTATGTCATCAGTCCAAGAAATATAAGACAGTTACTTTAAGTCAGCCAAGTGGGATTCTAAGAGTCAATGGCTGAAGAGAATTCGCAATGAAGAAAATAAAAGACACATTCAGCGAAGAAAATTTTCTTTATCGACGAAATCATCTTCAGAGGCTGTACTGTCGTATTTATACTTACCAAAACATACATAGTGGTCTATAGTTGAGTAATACGGAGTGACAATTGATATAATTACTCGGAAGTGGCTTTAGAAGAGAAAGTTAAAAGTTGTAAATTACGTGGTACCCAACGCCACAAAGATAGAAATTTGATAGGGTTAAAATTGCTATTAAATGAGAATAAAGGCAGTTGAGTGTCAATTTAACAAGTGTGAAGAGGGTGTAAAAATGTACGAAAGGAGCATATGAGAGTGATAATGGTGAATTAATTATTAAAGTAAAAGCAAACTAAAAGTAAAATTAAAAAAGAAAAAAATCAAATTATTTTTACAGGGAACGACTAGTGAAGAGGTTAAGACCAAGGTAGAATAAGAGACTAGACAAACGTTTTCTGTATACAGAGTTCGGGGTTTGGAAAGTGTGCGTTTTGTGTGGCTATTATAACTAGCTCCACACGAGTAGGTGTATTTATAAACACACATTGAGGTTTCCCAAAGCGGCAGTTTATCCTTCATACATCCGTTGATCATTTGTCGGCTGTAAAAATTGATACGTAGCTCAGCCATGATGAAGGATAAACCGCCACTTTGTGGCACCTCAATGTGTGTTTATAAATACACCTGCTCGTGTGGAGCTAGTTATATAGGCCGCACAACTTGGCGCACACTTTCCAAACGCATCTCTGAACATTATTCGGCATGGTTAGCAAAGGGACAATGCAAGACAATTACTAGCTCAATTCTCGAGCATTTGGTGAACTCAGGCCATGTAGCTCTACCAGAGTCGTCTTTCAAGATCATCTACAAGGTGAAGCTAAATGGTACAAAGGGCGTCAGGTTTCGGCTTTTGTGTGTGGCGGAGGCGCTGGCGATTCGTCAATACAACCCCGAACTCTGTATACAGAAAACGTTTGTCCAGTCTCTTATTCTACCTTGGTCTTAACCTCTTCACTAGTCGTTCCCTGTAAAAATATTTGACTTTTTCTTTTTTAATTTTTAATTTTACCTTTAGTTTGCTTTCGCTTCAATAATTAATTCACCATTATCACTCTCATATGCTCCTTTCGTACATTTTCACACCCTCTTCACACTTGTTAAATTGACACTCAACTACCACCTTTATTCTCACTCAATAGCAATTTTAACCTTATCAAATTTCTATATTTGTGGCATTGAGTACCACGTAATTTACAACTTTTAACTTTCACTTCTAAAGCCAATTCCGAGTAAATATATCAATTATGTCACTCCCTATTACTCAATAATAGACCACTATATATGTCTTGGTAAGTATAAATACGACTGTACAGCCTCTGAAGATGATTTTGTCGATAAAGAAAATTTTCTTCGCTGAATTTGTCTTTGATTTTCTTTAGAATTCGTAATATGGCTGAAAATCTTTCCCATCCATTGTCATATCCCATATCCATTAGACCTTATTGTTTTTCCCTGTGTGGCGACTCGAATTGCTGCACATCGGTGTAAAGTTTAATGTTGAAACCAGTCAGTCAGTCAGTCAGCGTGTTCCTATGGTTGCTCCCTCATATTCCTGCACATTATCATTCTCTCGAATCCCTTTCTCATTCTCAATCTCTATTGCAACTTCAAAGCCTATAAAGCCTACAGTCCTAATGTTCCACAAAGAAAGCAAAGGAATAAATTAGCATAGATAACAAAATCAATAAACACAAATTACTCACTAAACTCTGCAATTGATTCTCTCGACTTCACAATCATCCAACCAGGTTCACAATAAACAATTAACGGGCTAATTCTTTGACTATTTGAATAATGTAATCGATTTGGTATATCTTCCTTAAGATAAACATTCATTTTTGAATGTTTCTTAGCCAGTCTTTTGTAAAGATCACCTGATGATATTCCATTTTTTGGCCATAATAACCAAACAATCCGATGATCTGCTCCAGGACTGTAATACCAATTTTCATTGATATAATCATGTAGAATAATTGTCCTGTTAGTGCTTACTGAAGACATACCATGATCACTTGTTAGAATTATATTAAGTGATGCTTTCAATACTGGTTGTTTATCAATTAACGATAATAAATATTCCATATCATGATTTAATTGACTGATAACATTATAGATCTCCGGTGAGTTTGGTCCACTTATATGACCTTGTGAATCAGGTTCATGATAGTAGATTAAACCAAGTGTAACATTCTCAAAATTTAATGATCGAACAATTGTATCGATTCGTTCAGTTAGAGAAATTTCAGGATTATACGGTGTATAATAATAGGACGGTAAATATCCCTTGATACTTGTATCACTACCAGGCCAAAAGTAGACAGCACTTTGATAACCATGACGTTGATTTGTTACCCATATAGGCTCTGAACCAACATCATACCATTTTGATTGAGGTGCATGGATTTGATTGACTAAATCAAATGTGTCATTCAGTATAGGATCATAAAATACATTATCAACAATGCCATGACTTTCTTCATGCATACCAGTTACCATAGAGATATGATTTGGTCCTGTACGTGTAATAAATTCATTGTGTACTTTTAATACACGACATCCTGAATTCCAAATTTTTTCAAATCCAGAAATATTAATCTGCTTTTCCTTAGCACGATCTAAATAATCATGACGGAAACCATCCAATGAGATGACAAGTAATTTTGGTTGTAGTATAACAGTAGCTGAATTATAAGAGAGTTTTAGTAGTAGAAAAGTGTATACACTGAGTATGCAGATAACATTGTAGTGCCAGGTGTATTTCATAGTCGATATCCAACACAATGTTATTTGTTGTTAGGGTATTCACTTCCGAGAATTGATGACATGTATTCACACAGACACACGCACACACTCGTATCACAGCTAAAAATGAAAAGAAAAGCATAAATGTCTAATCAATAAATTTGTGGAAAACGCCCATCGGGATATATATATATATATATATATATATATATATATATATATATAGAGAGAGAGAGAGAGAGAAAATTCACAGAAGTGATTCAGAGATGAGACTCTTTTCAACAACGAATTTATTATCAAACTGTGTATATATACATAGTTTTTAAGAAATTATATCAGGTGAGGAAATCGAATCAAAGGTGAAAGTACATAATAAAATAATAATAGTAGTATGAAATGCAGTTAAAATGTTTGTGATTATTATAATCACAGTTAAATGTAAAGTGGCCAAACAATGAATGTCATATATAGAATAATTCATAAGATGTATAAAACTTGGAAGGAGTGTAACCTTATAGGATAAGTAGGCAATATTGAGCCATACTGAGGTTATGCATCGGTTGAGTAAGTGCTGAGTAAGGAGGGGAAATCAATCGACGAGGTTGTGAAGTTACACCGACTGACATGGTTAGGACATGTGTTAAGCATGCATGTTTAGCCATCGCCTTCATCGACTGACGGTCTATGTTAACTGATATAGGATGGATCAGGTTGGAAAAGAGCTAGCACATGGTGATCAGGTCAAACCAAAACATGGCTTCACCAGTCAATCAAATCCATAACAGTCAGTTTAAGCCAGCCAGCCACGTAGGGAGATGTACACTTCTTGACTGGTTGGGGTCCTCAGGATGGTAAGAAGCAATGAAGACTGGAGACAATTGGTGATATGGCTCAAACTAATCGTTCTCAATGGCTGGCGGAGAGGCATTCACTCTTTGTGATTTGTAATATTCAATAAAAGTTTGTTGCATTCTTCCATATTACTATTATTGTTTTTCCATTACACTTCTCTTTATTATCTTCCTTTTGCTGAATCTGTCTTTACTCTCTTCTCTTGCTTTGTGTGGTACATGGAGGGAGAGTGTCAATTTGAACTTCTGGACATCTGTGCAAAGTTTTACGTTGACACCAGTTAGTCAGTCAGTCATTAGGAGACAAATAAAATGAAAACATTATGTAAAAATCCATGAAATTTGGTAACAATTTAACATTACAAAAATAATTTTGATATTGAATGACAAGTGGGCTAAGTGAAATATGATCGAAAACACTTCAGAGTAAGAAAAGTTATGGTAACAGTCAGCGTAATAAGGGAAGGATATACAAAGTGAATATACAAAACGAAAAAATAAGTAGAACCGAAGTATGAATGGGGATTAGCATACTTTAGCATAGACGGACTAGGACCATGAGAGTTGGAGGGGTTGACCTGGCTGGCTGGCTGACTGACTGGTTTCAACATAGAAATTTGCACAGAAGTGCAGAAGATATTCAAAAGAATGACAATAAGCAGAATTGTGAGGGGGGGAAGAATAGTAGTAACATAGAAAAACATTAGGGTTTCACTGGATATGAGAGATCACAAAGAATGAATACATCACGGTCATGGGAACGATTTTGAGTCATATCACCAATTGTCTCCAGCTATTGGTGTTTAGCACTCTGAAGACTACAAACCAAGATGCCTACACCTCCTTATGTGGCTGATTCACACTAACTGTCAAATATTTCATGGACTGATGCCAGATTTTGGTTTGACCACCTCTCACTCTTTTCCAATCTGATACTATGTCAACTAAAGTTGCTCGTTGATGAAGGGAGTGGTTTGGAATGCACAGCACATGTTCCAGCCATTTCAATCTATATAACTTCACAACCTCGTCGACTGATTTTCCCTCCTTATTCAGCACTTACTCGACAGATGGCCTCACTAACTCAATATTAGTCAGCCTACTACGCCTACCACCTAACACTGGAGATACAACGCAGACAGCTATGATCAAAGACAACTAGCTAGCTGGTCTTTCTATATCTTTCACTTTTAATGGCCATGTTTCACAACCAGTCATAAAGGAGGATGGAAAGAACTGGTGCTGTGCAGTACATACGTCCTTTGGTCAACAGCCAACTGGATATCACGTCGACGCCAGAGATGGAATAAGTTGGCAAATGCCAAACGAGCCTTTCGTATCGGTGCTGAGATTTTGTCAGTGATCAACCCGCTTGCGTTGACTGATGCAACTTCCCAAATAAGTGACATAGTCGACACGCTCAACTATTTCACTCCCTATTTTTTAACCTAGGGGTCGGTGTAGTCCAGTCAGGTAGTACTATATAACATCTGACAGGAGCGAATCACATAACAAAGATTCGAAGATCTCTGCTCATGGTGTTCAGAAGACTTTGGAGAGGACTGTATCATCCGTATACTCTAAATCGACATGACTACTCCCTGGTAACAAGTCAATCCCTGAATTGTTAAAGTCGGATAGGGTTAAGTTCATTAGTACATCTATGATGAAATTAAACAGAAATGGGGACAGTGGGCATCTCTGACGGACACCAATAACTGACATCATTTCAGATGACAACTCTCCGTAAGCCTTTACCAGGCTACCTGAGTTCGAGTAGGGTGCCATGATAGGTGTGATGTACTTTCTCGGCATTCCCCTCACGGCCAAACATTGCCAAGGTACCTCTTGGTCGATGCCGTCGAATTCCGCCTTTGTGTTGAGAAACATGGCAATTGTTGGACGCCCGTAAGTATGCCTATATTCCGGAGTCTGTCGAAGGGTGAAGATATGACCAACAAACCATCTTACTGGTCTAGAACCTGCCTAGCTCTCTCGTGTTTGTTTCTCCCGAGCACCACTTAATCTACGCATGGTTATTGAGCCTACAATCTTAAATAGCTTATTAGTCAAGCCAATCCTCCCATGATTATCACAAGAAGACCTGTCTCCCTCCCAGCATACTGGTATATTAAATGCCAGTCTAACGGGATTATTTCAGGTTTTCAAACTTTTCCTGATACTTTAGTTGATCCAGACGGCGACTTGTCACCACCTTTCTTAAACACCTCTCGAGTCATTCCAGCAGCTAAGCTAAAGTAAGGATGGGACTCAAACCTGTGGCCAACTAGCTAAAAGTTCAACGTATAAGCCAATATATACCACATTTCCACCCACTTATTTAGTGTTACGCCTGGACAAAAAAGTAACAAGATTGTCAGATATATTAATTAGAACAAAGAGACGCAGGCGATTATCGTTAGCATTGAGGGTCATCATTTATTTACCACATCGAAGTCTTGTCAGCCATGCATTACTAAGCCTCAACACTAATTCATAACATATGGAACATTCTGTCTGGATTCGACATAGAACTTGACACCGAAGTGCAGCAGTTCGAGTTGCCACGTTCCAAAGAGCACACAAACGTAGACAAGAAAATGAGTGAAGGGAATCAATAGAGTTTTGACAAGTATAAGAGTGAAATAGAATGATTAATGGTAGGATGGAATATGAAAGAATACAGAGACTGAATACATCTGCGTAAGCCATTGACAACGATTTTGAGCCATGTCACCTATTGTCTCCAGCTACTGATTCTTAGAGTCCCGAGGGTCCCAACCCGGAAGTCTGCATCTCCCTCCCTACCTGACTCAGTTTAACTGTCAGGGATTTCATGGGTTGATGAGGCCATGTTTTTGTTTGGCCACCACTTACACTTTCTTACTTCCAACCTGCACCTATATCAGCTAGTAATGCTCGTCGGGGGAGGCGATGGTTAGGCATACGTGGAACTTGATTACAACTAATGTGGTTTTTTACAAAGTCAATTTTCTGAACACACTGAGGCAAAAATCGTTGAACGTTTGGCATGAAATTTGCTCCTATCAAATGTAAGACACGACTCCTAGCTTTAAAATAGGGTGTGAAGTGGTTATTTGGGGAGTTGCATTACCATGAAGGATTGATAGCTAGAGAAATCTCACAACGGATGAAAAATGCTCGTGTAGCATTTGTCAACTTACGTCATCTCTTGCGTAGACATGATATCCAGTTATCCATCAGAGGACGTGCACAGCGCTTCGTTTCATTCAACTGTACGACATGATCAATACGAATGGACCATAGTTGTTTCCGCTGTATCTCTGGTGTTAAGCGGTATAATATGGTGAGTAACATTAAGGTTAAGCGTAGAGTGTTAGGTAAACCTACATGGATTGAGATGGCTAGGACATGTGTTACGTATGCCTACTTATCATTCTCTTCGTCGGGAATATTACTTGACACAGGGTTGGATTGAAAAAAATTAGGTGTGTCCAAAACAAAACCTGGCATAAATCCATGAAACCTTTGATTTTGGTCCCTTAATGGGGCTCCGGGAAGCTAAGATCCAACTAAAACTGACTATCACAAACTGTGAGGAGGGATATCATATTTTGGTTTCAATAACCACAACTTTCCAGACCAAAGCCCACTGTACCTTGCATTGTTTTTGGGTGAAGGCAGTGACAATTCATCAGTAGAGTTTTACTCGAGTAAACTGCTAACATTCCGATCGGAATGTTATTTCAAGGTCACGTGGTAACGGTTGTACTGTATTTCTACACCAGCTCCTACTGTGAATAAAACAGGTGAGCTGAGCATCGTTATGGGTAGTGGTATGTGAGCCTTTGAACACAACAAACCGAAACTACAGCTGAGACTCACAGGACCACCAAATGTAACGTAAATATGACCTTGGTTTGATAAGAGCGCTACACCAGAAAATTTAGTGTATATTTTCAGTAAACCTTGTAGACAGAAGAGACTAATTTTATGGAAAATATATCCTTGAACTGCCTGATCTGACACGCGTATGCGAATACCGATGCATAAGTAGGATTTCAGGTAATTTGCTGGAACATACTCTAGGTAAAAAGTAGTGCCTCGTTTAATGCACAGATAATTCACTTATGGGCTCCTAACCAAATGATAATAATTAAAAGCATAAAAGAATAGTTTCATTCGGTAAAATCACAGTGATACATTATTATTTACTTTTGACATTTTGAGAATTACCAATTTATTGTATATTATGATTATATTTCAATATCTTTTAATTAAAAGCAAAAGAAATTTCAGCAGTTGGTACTATGACGAGCAGTAAATCTGCTCGAAATATCGCCGAAGACGAAAACTTATAACTGTGTGTAAACTTATGAAATTTAATTATGACTTATTTGATCTATGCCCGAACTTTTACCGACATTAATACCAGTTTCCTGTAATCATATCATGTCACTTTTACATTCACTATCGTATTCGCAAACAAATGAAAGCCAAGTTGACTTCATTGGCCCCAGTTCGTGATTATAAGCTGAAGTTTCTGGACTTCAGTTAACTTCTACGTAATATGCCCCGCCACTCAACTGTCGTCGCTTTGGTTGACTCCTTGGGGGTGGTGCTGGAATTGGTTATATGTGGCATGTGATAAGTGACTTGTCCAAACCGTGTAGCTGCTAAAACTGCAACTGATCATTCCACCCCTTCATGGGAAGGCAAAATAATAGTGGCAATTAATGAGAAGCATTAATTATACATATAATTCGAATCCATTATGCAGACTTATAAATACAGATGAGGAAATTCGATGATTAAAAATACGTATATATAAATTAATAAGTAGAGGAATGAATAGAGAGAGCACTCAGAAGTGTAAGATAATGAAAAATGGGCAATAGCAAGGGATGAGTTCAGGTAAAACACCCATGAATTGTGTGAGTCTTAAGGGGATATGAATGCCATTTGAACGCATTCCTTGTGTCGGTGCATGAATGTTTAGCTACCAGCTAAAGCTTCCCACGGATGACACAGTAGCCAAATCTGCTGGCAAAACGTTCCAGTGAGCAAACGCGAGAAGATACCTGATGCGCTGCCCTTCGTGGATCGCCAGCAGAAAGCACATACTCGATGATAGAAAACACTTGTTTGGGGAGTTTCATGCATTAATAATATTATGGGCAGTAACTATGTCGCCTCTGCGTCGGTTTCACAGCGGTTAGGACTCTCGCCTACCATGCACATGGTCTGGGGTTAGATCCCCTGCCGACGCACACCTGATATCAGTGGTTGGCCTGCAAAGTCACATGCTGAAAATTCCATACTGTGTGGTCTCAAGCGACAATCAAAATTTTAAAAATAAAAATAAGCCGACAATAGCTAAGTATGAAGAGATTTAATTTCCTTAGGCTTTCATCAGATGGCTTATTGAGGGGATAAACTGCCCCTTTATCACCCGTCTTTGGAACACGGTGATACGGCTACTCAGGTGTAGTGACTGTTTAAGGAATTCAGAAGAATTGGACAAGTAACCACTGAAGAACTATTTCTTCTTTAAGACTCGTGAGGCCTCCTTTTTGCTGAGAGATGATTGTTCTTCCATGTGTTTGGCCAGGTTTCAATGCTTCACCTACCGTCTGGCGTGCTTTCGAAAATAAAGGTTGAAAAACACCACAGGTCTTCTGCAACATTATATGCCGTCAACCCGCACTTTGAGCAATTTTTTCTGTAAACATTGGACTTATGAAGTGGTGACCCCGTTTCATTCGTATCTTGTCTTCTATTTTTCATAGCCTACTATGATCTAGTCATTAAAAACAATATTCGACGGAGACTCATTTCAACGAATTTATTTTCAGGCCGTACAATCGTATATATATGCGGATTATATTGTTAGAAATTATATCCCATGGGAAAATTTAACCATAGGCGTGAATACATAAAACAATAATATCATGGAATGAAATGTTTCCAGTCGTAAAGATAATTAAGTATTAAGTGTAAAATAAAAGAACAATGAATGTCTTATATAGAATAATTCGTATGATGTATAGGCGTTAGAAAGATGTGGGCTGGACTTATATGTCACGTTTGGTTGAAATTCCGCTTGGAAATTTTTTTCAAAGGGTTGTAATAAAAGTGTCAAATGTTATCTGTATTGATGGGAATTACCATTTCCTGGCTCTTTATGTTGGTGTCCGCGTCATGTGATGTGACTGCGACACACTATTAACATATTTGCTGCAATGATCAGTGTTTCAGGAAGACTGTGTCAAAATATCGGTATAGTGAGGAAGATAGGATAGTTGGAGGGTAATGTCATTTACACAAATCGTTTACTACATGTAGAAGTTGCACTTTTCGGCATTGTATCATTCGGTGAAGACCTCACGTCTCAGGATATTAATTCAACCTATTTTCACGTGAAGAACAGTCCTTTTTGACAAAAGAATGACATCAGTATATGGAAATCACCTATAAATGCCAACAGAGTCTTCTGTGGGAACCTAAGTTATCATTTAGATGTGCTTGTCACTTTACCTGTGGTTGGAGAGGAATTATCGTAAGTTGAAAGGTTACCTCTAAGTGGATTTAATAAATGTTTACACTGATTGGTGCAGTGCAATATGGGTTATCCTTTTCTGGCGGCCTGCTTGGACATAAGGCTACCAAAAATTCCACCTAACAACATTTTGCAAAATTGCTTTGGTTTGCTCTTTTAATTTTGTTTTAATTTATCAATTATGTGTCCTAATCGTATTATATATAATCGTGCATTTTTAAAATCATTACAACCTACTGCGTTGTCTCATCCACAAAAATTGAGAAAAAAGCATCACTGTGGATGGCAGCGTGCACTAAAACGTGCACAAATTAATCAAATGACCGTTCCTGAACTCGTTAGCACTAATTGTAGATCCCTGTTCAACAAAATGGATTATCTTCAATCCCTAATGTATTCTAATGTTTATCGAAATGCTGGCGTTTTAGCAACACAAGAGACTTGGCTGCACCAGCATTATGATGATAATCTAGTTTCAATAAATGAATATAAAGTTTTTCGCCAAGATAGAAAAAGTTCTAAGAAAAAATGTGGGGGAGGGGTAGCCACTTTTATAAACGCAAGCTGGTCTACATCAAATCACGTTTGCTTCAATTATTCTAATGACAATATAGACTGCATAACCGTCAGGTGTCGCCCAAAACACTTAAGTAAATCTTCTTATATATACATAACAAATATTTATATAGCACACAATTGTAGCCTTTCTAATATAGCTATGTTTGCAGATGAATTTAATGAATTTGTAGTGTACATTGTACCTTTGAACCTTTGTTTGAATGAACGCAACCTGACCTTTAACCCCACTTCCACTTTGTATTCCTGAACCTCCTGTTAGGTTTCGGTTTCGCCCTCTCGCTGTACTTTCACCTAGTACACTCCCATCGCTGACACGACCGCGGAAACCATTTGCCGAGTGTTCATGAAACGCTGGGTAGCTCAATTCGGATGCCCATCTTCGGTGACTACAGACCGTGGAAAGCAGTTTGAATCAACCCACTTCAAGAAGCTCTTAGAGCTGCTGGGGTGTAAACGCATCCGAACAACCGCGTACCATCCAGCAGCAAATGGACTTGTAGAACGTTTTCACCGCCAACTGAAAGCTTCGTTAATGGCTACCGAGAATACTAAGTGGACAGAGTCCCTTCCCCTAGTGCTACTTAGCATCCGTTCCACGCTCAAAGCAGACTTACAGTGCGCCTCCGCAGAGTTGGTGTTTGGTACCACCCTTCGTCTACCGGGTGAAATTATCTCACCTGAAAGTGGTGAGACAAGTGCTACGGATGTGCATTGTTATGCTCAGAACCTCAAGCGCCTTATGCATCGCCTGCAACCAACTCCCACACGCACACAAAACAAGAGAGTGCAAGTAGATGCTAGACTCGATGACTGTACCCACGTTTTTGTGCGTTGCGACGCCGTTCGTAGACCGTTACAACCTCCTTATGATGGACCATTCAAGGTCGTTAGTAGGAAAGAAAAATTTTTTGTTATTGATCGACTTGGCCGTCAAGACACTGTAAGTGTCGACAGACTCAAGGCGGCCTACATCGAAGAATCTGTACCCCTCACACCTACACAACCAGCAACTACGCCCGCACCCACCCCCCAGCCAAGTTCGATTGTCGAAAATCCTACTAAACCTAGCAGTTCTCCGTATGAGACAAGTAAAGCACCGGTTACACGCTCTGGTCGGCGTGTACACTGGCCTAAGCGATACTGTGAATTTGTTAACTAAGCGCTTTTAATTACAAGAATAGCTCATACCCTCATGTCTTTCCTCAGGTTACATTCATTTTTCATGATATTTACTCCTTTGGGTTTCGTTTGTGGGCAGTAGACACTTTTTCATTTACTAATCCTGTTAGATTTCTTTCTCGTTACAGTTTTCTAACATTTTATTTTTGGCGTTGCACTCGAACCGCTAGCTAGCCCAGTCCATTCCATTGTCGCATGGTGACTCCCAACACTCGTGGAATTACAAATCAAACGAACGAAAATATGGACCAGATAAAAAAATAATAAAATAAATAAAAAATATAATAAAATGTAAAAACAAAAACTTTCACTGTATAGTTAAACGGACCGTTAAATATTTTTGCATAAAAATACGTCACTTCTATGCTGTACATTTTAATCCGCTCAATCTATTTTCACAGATTTTACTATTTTTACTCGAGTTATGCCATGATGAAATTTATTTATTTTGTGATCCATACTTGTAATTACTTTGCATCACTTTAATTATACAGCTCGCTACATTTTTTTAACAAATGGTGATTGTACCTATTCATAGCTATTGGTTATACACACACTTCTCTGTACCTTGCATAAATTTTCACAGCGCTAGCAATTTCCCTT